CAGTTACAACATAGTAAACATGCATATACAGAATATAACACATATATTGATTATTAATCATGAACAACTTAAAATTCCATTATTCTCTTTAACAAGTAGTCAGGACAATTCATTGGTCCTCTCATGGAACCCATACTCAAACTGTTAGTGCACCAGAACGTGGTACCCAATCCAAGTTAGTGTGTCAAAACGTGACACCCATTCCAATATGTATGTCGGTACGTGACATCCGATCCCAGTTAGTGTGTTGGAACGTAACCCTGATCCATTCAACAAACCACAATCACAATCACAATGTACATTCTCAAAAGCATACAATCAAGTGTTGATTTATGGCATACAATCATTCATTCATACTCATTTGCATTAGGTGGGATCAATAGTGCAACATTCGTATACATACATTACAATGAAGCAATTGCTAGCATACATCACACAAACAAGAAATCAAACTATCACCTACCTCGAAAACAAGCTTGAATCATTCTAAGAAACTTGATTCTTCCCTTTCAGGATTCGTTCCGTTTGTTCTAGGTCTACAAACAATCAATTCAATACGAGGATCAATAATTAAGGACTAATTCACCCGATTTATAACAAACCCAAACCCCCAAGACCCAAATTATGAACCTAAGGTGCAACTAGGCTTTTTTCCACCATCCAATTCAATTCAAAACCCTCCCCCAACAATATATAATCAAGATTCTATGTTCTACGGATCAAAAAATAAAATTGGAGAGTGAAAACCTTACTTTTAGCACCGAAAGTCGTGGAAAACTGTCAAGGGGTCGTCTCCTAGCTCTCGAGAACGAAACTTGCAAAAAATAACGATTTTGGAGTGTTAATTACGACTTAAATCGTGACTGAGCCACTATGGCGGTCCCCATCCCGCCACAGTTGCCCTGTCCTGAAGGGAATAATCCCGCCCTGGCGGCTTACACGAAAACAAAACCTCAAAATTTTAGTTCCAAGCCCTCATTTCACAACACACCTTCAAACCAGGACGTTCAAAAATCACATGCCCACGCTAAGATCAGTTTCAGGAGTTCTACTCGCCCGAATTCGATTCTGTAAAGTCGTACGAGTTTCTTAACGTCTTAGCTATCTACTCATGTGATCAATTACATAATTAGATCTCTCATTCATTACCAGATTTCCCTACACCTCACTGACTTCAATTTCGTCCAAATTTGGACTAGGCTAAGAATTCTCAAGTTACTACCAAAAAGTTTTCCGGCTCAAAATTTTTCCCCGTTGACTTTTCTATAATGACGGAAGCAAGTCGTTACACTTTCATCCCTTATTTTTTTATTTAAATCTTTAAATATAACAAAATTTATTATTATTTTTTCAGTACGAAGATGGTATCGTTCATTCAATCTTGATTCAATACGGAAATCAATAACATGAATTCTAAAATCAAATTGGTATCATAGTGTATGAATTAGTATATAAATTGATATAAATTAAATAAATATCACAATTTATAGATACCAATTTGTATACAATTTTCATACACTAAAATAGTTAATAAAATATAAAAATGGGTGATTACTAGTTTGCATACCCACTTTTACATACATTATACATATTCCATATGATATATGAAAATACTTGATAAACCGATTTCATTCATTATATAATCTAAAGTATATCTTCTAAATTGGATGTCATAATCCATAAATATTAATATGTATAATAATTTCATAAATAATTAATAAAATATAAAATTTATTAAGCATCAATTTTTATACTAATTTTTATAGTGATTATACACATTACATATAAAACATGTTCATGTATAACTGATATAAAAAGATTAAGTAAACCAATTTGTATATTTATTCCATACATACTATTTATATATCCATTCTATATACATATAGTTTTCGATTATATATTGTTTACGCTCCAAAAGTGAACATACCATATTATATATCAATTTCATATAATGCATAATTAAAAAAAAAAATCTTTGATGCATGTTTTAAGACCAAATGAATATGTTAATAACTCAACATAAATATCAATTAGTGTATTTAACAGGTATATAAATTGGTTAAAAATGGTAGATTAAGCTAAAACGTGAAAATCAAATTTAATACAGTTTTCATATGTTAATAAAATTTTACTAATGTACAAATTTGTTGGGCATCATTTTTCATACATAATTCGATAACCAATATTATTACCAATGTTCAACTTAGCTTGATTTTTTCAAATTTAAATTTCTTCACGACAAATTTTGCTTCTACAACTTAGATCCTTCTTGAGAGTCTTGGGCAAGTTGTCACATCTAGTGTAACAAATTTATTTGATTTTTAAGGCAAATTTATCAAAATAAAACAAAAATAATACAAAAACATAGAAAATGAATTAAAAGAGAAGAGAACTATGGATGAAATATGGTTGAATGTGGATGAAACATAATATTGAACGGCCTTCATTCCTCTGGTTATGACCATAGATTCTTCCGAATCCATCAACATTAACACTCTCTCTCAAATAGATCTTTCTTTCCATAGAAGCGGCTCTAATGCAGTACCAATCAGTGTCATATGGGGCAAGCTTCTTTAGCCTACCAATCTTTACGATATTAGTCCACTCAGGAAGCTTCATCTTTTCAGTTAAAGAAGGTTCAAAAAAATTGAAATATATAGTTAAAGAATCACTAGTTGAAACTAATTAACACACACAATTAGTACACAATGGAGAGAAGATTGACATGAATTTCATCATGGTTGTGATATTTTTTTTAAAAAGCATTAAGGAGAGATGTTTGGAATTTCAAGTACTATTACGAATTATTACTTTTTAAGGAGGCATGTAACATTATAATTCCTAAATTGTAGTTAGATAATTACCTTGGTAACTGCTATAAAAAATGCTTCTTATTTTCTCTTTCCAATATTAAATATGAAAATAAAAAAATAAAAAATTTAAATTAAATTAATTAATTTGAATTTGTTATCACTAGTAATTAAGTTATTGTATTAGTAATTCCTAATTAATAGATTTATATGATGTAATATAAGATCTTAAATACATATAAGGAGTAATTTTTGCTTTAATTTTCACATCAAACATAAATATGATAAGTCTTAAAACAACCACCTCCCCATCCACGTTCTCACCCTCAATTTACTTTTAACTCTCAAATTTATAAAATTATATTTTAGCACTAATTCTTAACTATAATAAGACATATTCCTTCATGTTTCCTCACCATTCTAACTATTAATAACTAAGCTTGTGCACAAACCGGTCCAACTCGAATTGTTGGACAAATTCGAAGCAATTTGGATAGTATAATTTAGTTATACAATTCAAATTTGATTTATAAATTCAATTATAAAATATTATGATTTTTTTTAATTGCGACTATTGTTGGGTATATTTACAATCCGACCCAAACAAGAAATTGAACTGCGTAAACGTGGCTAAAAATTATTAATACCAAAACATGTGGTTGCATTTGTGAAAAAACTTCGACAGGTAACTGAAAAACATATAGGAGTATTTATTTTGAGAAAGTTATTTTTTAGCATGAAGAAATATACAAAGCGAGTCTTAATAAAATATGTTACTATTATGCTTGCCAGCTAGTAGTAGCACAATCTATTTATTATTTATTTGGAACCCTCGGTGCCACCGATAACATTTGCCACCTTCTCTATCCAAACAACCACTCAACTCTGTTCTTGTTTGGCCATTTATATGCTAATAATCAATAAAATAATGTATATGGCATGTGCATTTCTAACCGTACATGCAGGAGTAGTAGGTATCAGATGAATGAATAAGGATGAATGTCAAAAAATTGTTGAGACAAATAAGAAGTTGAAACATGCATCAATCAATATTTTTATTTCCAAATAAATCTAAATTATTTAAAATGTATGTAATTATTAATTTTTGACATTCTATTTTGTGGGTGACAATTTGAGACACTTTCTCTGCCATGTCATCTTCAAAGGGATATTAATATCACTTTAAACAAGTTCAGATGTGTAATAGATCGTCAGAATAGTTAAAATATGTAACTGACTTTTCGAGACAAGTTCAGGGGGAAATTTATGTCTTTTCCCAATGTCTTATGAAGCGTAACAGCCACTACAATATTGATGAGTTAGACCTATTTTTATAATTAAAGGTAATGCGAAATATTATACAAGTAAAAATAATATTCCAATAATTGACATACTAGGTGATGTCTTAATGCTATTTTTTATAAATATTTCTACTACTTCTAGAATAATTTTGATAATTTGTGTAATAATTGACTCAATTTAAAAAGTTTTTAAGACTATGATCAATAAGAACTTACCTATAATATAAACATTTATGGTATTATGTAACATATAATAATTTATATATAACTATTTCAGTCTTATGAATTATTACAAAAAAAATATTATACTATCAATTGAAATTACAAAAAAAATATTATACTAACAATTGAAAGAGAGAATTAACTATCAAATTTATAATTAACTATTAGAATATATAAGTGATTACATAAAGATAAGATCTCTTTTTTTTAAAATTTGGTTTTAGGTCTCGCATCCTATTAAGTTGTCCCTAATATTCTTGATATTCAGGGTGGGATGACATCTCAATATATGTGATAAATTTCAATCTTGTATCTATAAATTACACAAAAACAACTTTTTGGGATTCATGTTGTAACCGTTCGAGCTCCTAAATTACTTTATTGTAAATTTAATTTTAATTAAAGTAAATTAGAATTAATATTAATATACATCACAAAAATATTCAGAAAAATTTAATGGATAAATTATTAATTTGAATTACATATTATAATAGTTAGTAATAATTTTTTTACTAATTTTAAAGATTTAACAATTAATACTAAATTGACTAATTTTCAATTGAAGTTTAAACATGAGTCGATACTCAAAATTCAACACTAAGATTACTACTAATCTTAAATTCTCTCACTCACATTACATTGCATAAAAAAGAATTAAATGTCATAATTTAATTTAACTAACCAACATTCACATCCCTTCATGTCTAAGACTCTAAAAACTTTCACTCAACAAAAGCAATAAATAATTATTTAGAGAGCAGAGAGTTGATATGTGTGGCTATGTTTTGGGCATCAAATGCAATCCCATAAAGTCCTCTTCTTGATAACCCCACACAATAGAGTCCATTCTTCCCCTTCCAATGTTGTGGAAATTCTGGCTTTGGTAATCCATCTTCATTCAACAGATAATCATCTCCCTACACAACAAACACACATAGAGTGAAAAAAAAAATGTTTATAAAATCATCTCAACTTATTGTCATTTTCTTCAAAAAAGCAAATGTAGAAAAAAGAGGAAAATGACACAACAAAGAAAACAATTTATTATTATAATATAAAATAAAATAAGTTACCTACCTGAAGCCAATTGTGAGTAGTTCTCTTAAAACCAGTAGCAAAAACAATACCATCAAATTGATGAATTTTACCATTTTCCAACACAACATCATTTCCTCTTATGCTTTTCATTGCAGGTAACACCTGTCACCATCATATTTTTTAATCACATGAATCAGATACAGTTCGAATTTCGAGAGTCAAACAGTTTATGTTACCTGAATTTCACCAGACTTGATCTTTCGATAAGTCCCCACATCAAAAACAGGGTACTTCCCATACTTTATTTTACAAGCAAATGGTCCTTCTTCTGGCCTTTTCACACCATAATACTTGCTTATATCTCCATACATTAACTTACTCAACATCACCATTATAGTATCCACCACTGTATATGCAACTTTGTACTTCAACAACATCAACCCCAAATATCCCATTTCTCTTGATATCAAGTGCATCTGTAAGCAGGATTAGAAATTTGGGATTCTAAATTTTAGGACAGAAGAATAATATAACGAAAAATATTTAAAATAAAATTAATTGATTACCGGGCTTCGAACAATGATGGAAGTATTAGCACCATTATTAGCAAGATCAAGTGCAATTTCCATGCCTGAATTTCCACAACCAACAACTAGGACATTTTTACCCTTATACTTCTCACCATTTTTGTATTGAGTAGAATGAAAAGCATCTCCAGTGAAACTTGCCAATCCAGGGACATCAGGGGTAAAAGGGTAACTAGCTTCACCAGTAGCTACAACAAGAAATTTACAAAAATACTCTTCCATTTCATCAGAATTACCATTTCTAACCTTAACATTCCATTTTTTAGTAAATTCATCAAATTTAGCAAATTCAACTTTTCTTTTGTAAAAAGGGGTGATATTAAAATGAGTAACATAGTCATCCAAGTATTGAATAAATTGTTTTTTTGGTATATAAGTAGGTGAAGAAGAAGGAAAAGGAATATAAGGAAGTTGACAAAATTGTTTAGCTAAATGAAGATGAACCCTATCATAAGAATATTTTTTCCACATAGGAGAGTAACAATCTTCTTTTTCAAGAATGAGATTTGGTATACATAATTTATTTAGACATGCAGATGTAGCAAGACCACCAGGCCCACCACCAACAATGATAACCATAGGTTCTTCATAATTATCAAATGTTGCCATGACTAAAATTGAGAAGAAAATTTGATGGTGTTGAGAGAAAAAAAGAAAGATGAGGGATATATATATACATGGAAATATACTAGAGGACAACTTAGGAGTCATTAGAATTTATTTATTTTTTTGACTATTTTAGTGTTCATACGGAGACTTATTAATTATCTTTTCCTTTTTTTATTTTGGTTTGATTTGGTAGATTGTGTTAATTTATGGTGACTTATTAATTTTTCTTTTCCTTTTTTTTATTTTGGTTTGATTTGGTAGAATGTGTTGGTGTTGAACTTACTAGCAAGACACTTATTAAAATTAATACTTGGTCTACCTTTACTTGTCCACTATAATATTTTGGCATGTCCAATAATATTTGTCCAGTTCATAAAATCAACGGAAAATGATCATATTTGCTCTTATAGTCTCAGAATAGGGTTATATTTACCCTTTGTTATATTTTTTTGATATATTTACCCTTGTCATTTACTCTTGGACCGTTAAGTCTCATCATCCTATGTGGCGTCTACTTGGTGTCTACGTGACATGCCTACATAGATGTTTATATTTATAATTTCACTCAAATTATAATTTTTGATTTAATTATTATATCCAACTCAATATTATACTCACTCTTTTACATGTAGTTGATGGTTATGACTATGTGACGGTGGTTGTTTGGCTGATGGTAATTGATAATGATAGTAGTTATTATTATACTATAAATGTCGATGGCCATAGTGGATCAAGAGGTGGTAATTGACTGTTATAGTTGTCCAGTAAAGGTTAGTGCGTAGAATTAATAATGCTAAAAATATTTTTACGGAATCTCTGTAGTAAACATCTTGATTAATGACTTTGTATAAAGAAAATTTTAATTATATAAAATTTATGAAGAATTAATTAGTGATTGTGAGAGGAAAAAATATATTAAGTAACATAATATATCAAGATTTAAATTTATACTTTCTTTTAAGTACAAACATATAAGTATTAATTACCTGTATATGAAATTAATTTCTTAAAAAAAATACTAGTGCATGTACATGATTTAGATTAAATGTACCAAATTAGCCCAAACATATCACTATACTTTGACTCTGCCCCTAGTAGTAGTTATTATTAGTTATTATTAAGTATATGATCCTTGAAATATTTTAATTGTTATTTTCATTCATATACCGTAAGAATTAATCAAAAGGGAACCATGCATAAAAAGGAATATGTGTAATTATGAATATATAATTTCAGCGACACACGCCTCTCTCTATCCTAATGAATTTATTAGACCACATACAACTAAGATTGACAAACTGCTATTCCTTCGTCTTAATTTATGTGTTGTTTTTTAGAGTTCAATCAAATGTTAAATTCAAAAAATATTTTTTTTGTCTAATAATAGTTATCCATTATACTATTTGGAATGTCCAACAATACTTGTTCACTTTATAAAATCAATAGATAATTTCACACTTAATTCCGAATTTACCGTTATCATTAATTATCGTCATTTCTCTATTACATTTTTCAAGACATAGTATTTATTATTCAAAGGATGATATAATAAAATTACTCTTCTATTATAGTTTTTTAAGAAGTGTGCAAAATCAATAGTGAACAAATAATATTGACACATGGAGTAAGAAAATACTTTATTATGTTTATTAAATTGTTCTTATTAAAGTTACTTTAATATTTATTTTTAATTAAATTTTTTTCACAGTAAAATATTAAATGAAATTCAGTAAAAATAAAATAAAATATTGTCATTAAATATTCTATTTCTACTATATTATAAAAGAGAGTTTAGGCCCAAGTATAATATATAATATTCAAGATTGGGACTTTTCCCAATCTTGAATATTATATATTATACTTGTGGGACTTTTAAAATTCTATTCTATACCCAAGTATAATATATAATATTCAAAATTGAGACTTTCTTGAATATTATATATTATATTTATTAAATAGTAGAACTTATATATATTATATTATTATATTATACTATTCTACTTTCTACTTTTCTATTTCTATTTCTATTCTACTTCTACTATATTTTATTATTACATTATAAATTATTATAATTATATTATAAATTATAATTATAAATTCTACTATATTATAAAAGAGAGTTTAGGCCCAAGTATAATATATAATATTCAATATTGGGACTTTTCCCAATCTTGAATATTATATATTATACTTGTGGGACTTTTAAAATTCTATTTTATACCCAAGTATAATATATAATATTCAAGATTGGGACTTTCTTGAATATTATATATTATATTTATTATATAGTAGAACTTATATATATTATATTATTATATTATACTATTCTACTTTCTACTTTTCTATTTCTTTTTCTATTCTACTTCTACTATATTTTATTATTATATTATAAATTATTATAATTATATTATAAATTATAAATTAAAATTATAAATAAAATTATAAAAGAGAGTTTAGGCCCAAGTATAATATATAATATTCAAGATTGGGACTTTCTTGAATATTATATATTATATTTATTATATAGTAGAACTTGGGCATAAACTTCCTTTTAAAATAATATATATATATATATATATATATATATATATATATATATATATATATATATATCTCACAAATGGAAAAGTCTCAATCAAGGAAGTAACATATATCATTTACAAATGACTTAAAAAGCATTTAAAATTACAATAATTACCAATTTAAAATATTTAAAAGCTATATAATAACATAGGTTGACTCTCAGAATTCTATCAGGCTCACATATATTGGGACAGAAAAAATAGCACATATCATTTTAATATTACCAAAAAAGTATTATAAATAATAATAATTAACAAATTAAAATATTTGAAAGACATTTTAAAAGGGTTAATTTTGTAATTTTATTCATATCACATAAATTAGGACAAAGTGACCAGTAATGTACATTATTTCAAAGTTACATAAAAATATTATAAATCACAATAATTAATAACTTCAAACATTTTTAAAAAACATATGAAAATTTGGATGACTATCCAAATTCATTTGTGTCACATAAATTGAGACAACAAAAACAACATATACTGGGTCCATTTTAATTTATTTGTCTTATTTTATTTTATTTATATTTAAAAATTGCGTAAAAATACTATAAATCATAATAATTGACAACATAAAATATGTTTTTGAAAAAAATACAAAAAATTCTACTGATTCTTGAAGTGAATCTATCGTAAAAATACTATAAATCATGATAATTGACAACATAAAATATTTCAAAAATGTTGTATGTGGGTAGTCTTATTATGCCTTAAATAGCGTCAAAGAAAATACATGTTTGTGATAAAAAAAACTTATTCCTTTATCCACGTAAACAATCGCTTCAAAAACTCGGTTATTAGCCCCAAAATATACCATTTATATTATTGGGCCGTGCATAGCACGGGCAACATCAAATAAGAACGAGTACCCTATAAGAAATCTTCTGGATCACGTAAGATAAAATTTATCCAATGTCTGGTACTTTCAATCTTTCTGCTTCTGGCATTACCAGTAATAACATTACTTTTACTTGTTGGATTTTTTTATTTTTATTTTTGTTCTTCTGAAATTTTCATCTATCTTTTTTTTTTCGGGAAAAGGTTTTGAAAAATACTTCAACTTTGATCGAAATTGTTGTTACGATACCAAACTTTGAAAAGGACCTTTTACCCCTGTACTATTTAATAGTGTATTTTAAAGGTATATATATGTCTACGTGGACATCATAAATATTGCATCATTTTAAATAGTAATGTGTCCACGTGGGCACATATATACCTTTAAAATACATTATTAAATAGTGCAGGAGGTAAAAGGTCCTCCATAAAGTTTGGTATCGTAACAACAATTTCGGCCAAAGTTGAAGTATTTTTCATACTTTTTTCCCTTTTTTTATGATAATTGTTTAGTAAATAATATTTTTATTTGTTTTGCAGTTTATTTTAATATTTAGCCTACCATCTAAAAAATTATTTTGAACAAAAAATATATTTTTTCACATAATTTGATATTATAATTGTGTTGGACTTGATTAGATAGGAATACTTACAAGTTATCCAAACATTAAGAAAATGAAGAGAAAGACACGATGATAATTTGTTATTATCATAAATAAAGGGCCTAAGTATAGAATACACAGTTGCGTTTAAAATCAATCCAATCGACAAAATAAGTTGATCCCATATAAATAATAAATAACTAAATAAATATCACTAACAAGGATTGTCGTGGAGTGATAAACACTCATTCATCTTTAATCAGAGGTCTCACATTTAAATCTCCTTGAATACGAAATTACCTTTATTAAAGGGCACTTGTAAAACTTTCCGAATAAGGGCAAATTCACCTATTTTACTTTTGCGAGATCATTTTCCATGTGTGTCACTCCTTTTTCCTAACTTTTTACAATTATCGATAGAAAACAATTTAACATTACGATTAAAAAAAAAAAGATAATTTGTTCTAAATTAATGAGGGGACACTTTGCTTTTCATATATAATAAGAAAAAAGGTCCCACAAAAATAAATGGAGAATAAAGAACAATTTCCTTCTTTGTATGTATCTTTCTGCATACATAATTTAAAAAAGACATGAGGTGCATGCGATGAAATAAAAAAATCCACAGTTGGTTATCAATTTTTTTTTTAAAAAAGACTTGGTATAACTAATATTGAGACGCAATTGATTAAATATTTGTTTTTGATATATACAGTGTGAACTAAATATTCTTTCATTTTAAATTAAAGATCTCAAATTTAAATTTTCTTAAATACAAAATCACCTTTGTTAGAAAATGTAAAATTTATGAACCAAATTATTCCAAGTTCTTTATGACATGTCATGAGATTTATAATATATGCATGATTAAATGGGAATTATGTAATTTTACTATCAACTAGGGTAGGCTTTGTTGGCTGACAAGGAATTAGTGCGACCCATCTTCGAAACATGTGAAACTTTATGTATTTTAACTGTTTAAATT